CGAGCGAAATTTTAGACAAACGAAAATGGGACACTCGCTCCAATTCTTTTTAAATAGCGCTCGATAAAGGCGAAAAACTCGTGTACAAATTAGACGAGCACGAAACTGTCGAATCTTTGGATCGTCTCCTATGGATGTCTAAACATGAACATGTTATTATAGTTAAAATACTAGCCGTTGTAGGTGTTGTTTGTTATAATTTAGCAAAAAAATTTGTGAGCAGTTTATCAAAAAAGAGAGCTGAAGCAAACGCTGTCGGTGATAAAGTAAAAGACGGATCTTTTAAATTGATGATTAACGGGCATTATGGCTGGACAGCGAGAAAGAGCGAAACTTATAAAAATTGCAAGTTTATAGTGAACAAGCAAAAGTGTCTGAGAAAAAGTTTGCAAATTATAATCGAAGCAGTAAATTATTTAAAAGAAAACGGTATATTTGAAATTCAAACCTATTTGCCTGCCAGTTTAACAACTCTTTTAGACGTGAACGATGTAGAGCAAGTATGTATTGATTTAAGTGATAAACGATTTCGTCGCGATGGAATTGATTCTTATTTAGGTATTTATAAGCATTTAATATTGACTGAAGTTTTTCATTTTGATACAAAAAGTGTGTATTCACCTGATAAAACAATAAACGAGTTTGAAGCAATGTCAATCGCTCTGAGAAACGAAAAAATAAACGAAGCATTCTGTTTGATCACCACAAAAAGAAATGTTTTAAACGATAGCTTGCGCTTAGTAGCTTGTGGCATTTTAGGACACGCTAAAAAAAGTGTTACTGTTTTTGCAAGCGTTATTAAAAGAGCTCTGCTGAAAGAGAACATTTTTTGTCAGCTTGTTGCAACAGAAACGGATTCTCTATTTTTTAGTATATACGGAGATCACTGTGAAGATTTTGATATAAAAGTTGAAAACGTATTAGCTAACGACAAGGATTTTGAAAGCATGATAGATTATTCGAATTATCCTAAACATCACCCACTTTATTCTACTCGTTATCAAAAGATGACCCATCGCTTTCAAAACAAATCACCTAATAAACTTATCACTTTTGTGATAGCTCTTGCAGCTAAATGTTATAAAGTGACGTTTGTAGACGACTCGCACAAATTTAGAGCTAAAGGTTTTCCTCAACAGCATTTGTTATCGTCGCATTATGTCAACGGACTTTCTTTGTTTGTTTTGAAAAACTATTTTGACAACACCAGATCCTGCTTGAACAGATCGAGCACTTTATTTAAACAAAATCGACTCCAGTTTTCAACTAATGGCATCGCATTGTGCGAGAAAAAAATAAATTTTATGAATAAAGTCAACTCAAAGCTGTACGTATGCAATAACGGGTTGGGACTGATTCGTGGCGATATTCGATTGCGTGCTTTGAGAAAATTAAACAGTCGAGAACGACATGGCAAAAATGTGCAGCGACGAGCACTTACGTCAATTGTTTGAATTAGAAAAACAAATGATAAACGCTTGTCCTGATTTACAAAAAAGAGACGTCTTCATAAGACGCTTTGCGTTGCCTATTTTAAAATCGATACAAGAAAATACTGAATAAATTTTTTTTTTGTAATTTTTTTTTTCATAACCATCAAAATAAAAATGAAAAACGCTTACGAGGCACTGTGTCAAAAAAGAGGATTTCCTTTGCCGCTCAATAAATCTAGCGAAATTAGCGACAAAGAACTGCCTTCTGAAAAGTATGACATTTTCAAGGAACAAGTCGATGTTTATCAGGGCAATGTGCTTATCGTAGGTCCTGTAAATTCAGGCAAAAGCAAATTGACTCGCTCCATTGTAATGAACGGAAAGTTCGAAGCCAAACACTATCACTTGATTAATAAACGCGAACTGGCTAAGGAGCAAAAACAAGAATGGCAACGCGTGTGTCGAAGCGACTATTCGAAAATAAAAAGCGTTTATTTTCACGAGCTCGACGGAAAGAAGTCTTTGGACGACATTATTGCTAGCCTTTTGCAAATTCAACAGGAAGCCTACGAAACACAAGAGAGCAACAATAGAAAAACGAAAACAGTGTTTATTTTTGACGATATCCAAGATGACTGTTTAAAAAGTTCACAGTATAGCAATTTGATTACAAGCGGTTCTCATTTGCAAATAGGCACTATAAGTTGTTTTCATGCTCTTCCTTTTAAACAAAATACCAAATAGAACACTTTAGTTGGTAATTATAAATTGATAGTTGCATTTAACGAGTCGCCTGAAATCAATCGCATCCTCGCAGAAGAATTTCCGTCGAGTAATCGTAATTGAAATTCAGCGGTGAATCTTTTAAAAGAAATCACAGCTGATCGAACAAAACACGATCATTTAGCATTGTTCCGAGAACATACAGCAAAGTTACGAAGTCAAATCGACAATGTCGACGTGCAAATTGTTTACGTACCAATCGCTAGCAACGGCGAAGCTGACTATGAGTATACGCAAACAAAAATTGAAAACAAACCGTGGACAACCTTTGTAAACCACAATTACATTCGCAAAAAACGCAATTGCTAAACGATAGCAGACTTTCAAGCAAAAAACTTATTAAAGATTGGATAGGGAAGGCGTTAAAAGGACACAGCGGAAGTCTTCAACAAAATGCCTATAAATTATTGTTTGCTGTTTTGAAAACGGACAGCAATGTGCCAAACAACGTTCGCCTTTTTTTAACGTATAAAAGTAAAGTTTTTGATACAAATGAAACTTTAGAGATGATCATATCCAATATGACAAATAAACAACTACCTCCTCTTTCTGACGAGCGACTCGTTTATCAGGAAGCCAACAACATCTTTACTTTAATCAACTCTCACGTCAGTGAAGAACCCAAATATTTATTATACGATAAGTACGATTTGGTGTATTTGCCTTTTTCAAAACTATTGAAAGCTGCCACAAAAGGTCAAGTTCCGTTTCGCGATACAAAGAAATGGGACAGTGTTTCTTTGGACAAAACACAACAAAAAGATTTTAAATGGGTTTCTTTAAATACCAGTTTTGCCACAGCGAATCTTCTCGACGATACTTCTCTTTTCAACAGAATCATTGAACAACTCATTGGCAGCCCAGTAAACATTTGGACGTCCACTAGACGTACATTGGACGTCCGTTTCGGACGAACGGACGTCTGTTTTGGACGTCCTTAGACGTCTAAACTAAGTCCAAATGCAACATGTTTCGTCCGTCCGTTTTGGACCTTAATGGACGTCTGTTTCAGACTTAAATTAGATAAATAGTTTAGGTCTACGGACGTTTACAATACGTCCATATTAAAGAAAAAGAAACGTTAACGCCCTTAAAAACCCTTACAATGGACACTGGGACACGTTTTTTAGCAATAAATAAGTATAATTTGTATAAAGGAAAAAGAATGTTTTTGACAAAAAAGAAGATACAAGTAAACAGAATTTAATTTATCGATAGATCATATTTTACAAAAAAGGCATAAATTTTACAATATAAATTTTTCTTATAGTACGATACTCATGTTAAATAGTTGCAATTTTTTGGGCGATTTTGAGGTTGCACGTTTCATCAGATCGCCAACTAGTCCTTCAATATTGCGCGCTTCCAAACCACCTTTGTCATATATAACTGCATCTAAAAGGAAAGTCAAAATTACCTTAAATGATGTGTATATATATATATATATATATATATATATATATATATATATATATATATATATATATATATATATATATATATATATATACATACATATTTCTTTCGTGGTACCTTTCTTGACTCTTTAACTCCGAAACACGAGCCTTGAGCCGCTGTGCGGAGAAACTAAGTTGATCGCGGTACTTCCAGGGACGTGGTAGGAGTTGAGCTCCAAACCTCTTGCTTACAAAGCGAGAGGTTTGGAGCTCAACTCCTACTACACCAATACTGCATTGCATATGAGTTGAAATAGAAAAATACTTTTATTGTCAGTATGAATGAATTTATTACGCCATAAATTAAAAAAAGATTATATAATAACTAATAAAAATACTTTTTGCAGGATAACTTTAAAGTGCACTTATGTTTATTCAACATTTTATTAAATATAGACCTATTTTTTAAGGCTTCTTATCCAGTTTAGAACTAGTTGCTTTATCAGTTTTGAGACAACATAGAATGTGTGGAGTTAAAATTAACCACTATACTAACCACTTGCTGACTGTTTTAAATAATTTTTTTTTTCTAAACGACAAAATTATTATGTTACAGAGAAAGTACATTAATATAATCTGGGAAACATTTACAAAAATTTGACATAATTTTATTACAAATCTTTATCTTGTTAAAAAATGAAGAATCTGGTTACAAGTTTCTAATGTGTCAGAATCCAGCATATTCAACAAAGTCAATTTCTTCCAATCATTGTCTTATAACAACTCATACTAAAATATACACACTCTATCTCACACCATTTGAAGGGAAATATGAAACACAACTGTTCGACCAACTGGATTGACCCAACAAAATGGTACTATTTTTTTGTGTTAGTTGATTTTTTTAGATATATTATATGTATAATATATCTAAAAAAAATATTTGTATTGTTTACAATATAAATTATATTGTAAATAATATAATTTATATTGTTGTTTAATAACAATAGCTGCATACTCTAAACAAAAGCAGTAGATATATATACATATTTATATACAAACATCGAATTCTTAAGTCAATCATTACTAAACACAATTTATAATTGAATAATAAATATTTAAACAATCACAAATTGAATAAACTTGCTATGAATAAAGATACTATTTTGACATTTCAGTATTGTTCTGAGTTTAAAATTACTATAATTTATTTATAGTAATTTTAAACTGAGTTTATACATAGTATATTAACCTTTACTATAGTAAGTTACTATTTGTAACCCGTTTAACTATTTATAACCCGTTACTAAGTAACGAGTTACTAAACAAGTATTTTTGGAAAAAATGAGTAGGTAGGGAGAGGTTTAAAGAAACGGAAACATTTAGCCAAAAAAATAAAAATAGATTCCATTTACTGTTAGAGCGTCTTTTACAATAAGTAATAAAAAAACTAAGTTTCTTCTGTTACAATACTTAATGAAGAATCGTGACAACTTTATTCTTTTTGCCACTTTGGTACAGCCCGTTTTAACAAATCACCAACAAGTCTTTCAATATCGCTCCCTTCAAAACCACCTTTGTCAGATATAAGTGCAGCTAAAACAAAAATTACATCAAATTTGTAATAATGTATGTATGTATGTATGTATGTATGTATGTATGTATATATATATATATATATATATATATATTTATATATATATATATATCTGTGTGTGTGTGTGTGTACATATGTATATATACATATATATATATATATATATATATATATATATATATATATATATATATATATATATATATATATATATATATATATATATGTACATATATATATATATATATATATATATATATATATACTATATATATATATATAAATATATATATATATATATATATATATATATATATATATATATATACATATATATGTATATATATATATATATATATATATATATATATATATATATATATATACATATATATATATATATATATATATATATATATATATATATATATATATATATATATATATGTACATATGTACACATATATCTACTATAGCATATTTATATGCGCAATTGCTCACTTTTTTTGCTAGCCTAATTTAAGTGAGCGTTTTTAGAAAACGACGAGGAAAAACGAAAAATAATGAATGAAAAGGTTGCTGACCCATACCAAACCCTCAGTCGATGTAGCAGCACTCCACTGCGAGTCAGGCATTTGTCAGTCAATGTATGTACTGAAGCCCCCGACAGCAGGCTATTTGATACTAGGTGAACATGACATCATCATGCTCACCTAACTCAGCAGTATAAGATATATGTGTACATATGTACACACACACACACATATATATATATATATATATATATATATATATATATATATATATATATATATATATATATATATATATATATATATATATATATATATATATATGTATATATATATATATATGTATATATATATATATATATATATATATATATATATATATATATATATATATATATATATATATATATATATACATACATACATATATACACACACATATATATATATATATATATAAATGTATATATATATATATATATATATATATATATATATATATATATATATATATATATATATATATATATATTAAATAAATATATATAAATAACATTTGTAGAATATTTTTAATAAATGCTTAAAAATTAAGGGTGAAATGGGACAAAAACTTACTTTTTAAACATTTATAAAGTGCTGTACTTAGAAATTTTCGCTTTCCTTTCAACCCATCTTTGCTGAAACAATTTTGCACGCTGCGCTCTAATACACAATCTAGCACATTTTTAATTGTTCTCCGCGGAGTTGGTCCACCCACACTTCTAATCTGACGAATCTATACACAAAAGTAAAATATAAACAATTATATAAAAGTTCTTTATCTTAAATGTTTTTTATTCTTCCAAAATAATTGAATAGACATGGTATCTTCAACCGATTCAAAGAGTTTTTTTTGTGAGTAATTTTTACATTCATTTTTCCACACTTGTGTGGTTTGGATAGTTCTTCATAATGACATCTAAATGCCATTATGAAAGAGTTGAAGCAATATTTTCTAACCGGATGCCCTTCCTGACGTTAAAATGAAGCAAATTGCACTTGATTACATGTCACCAGTAGCAGGATAACCTTACTTAACGTAAGGATAACCTGAGATTACAACCAGAAAAGCAAACTATCCATTATGACACAAGTTACAAAGGTGCCTAAAGAAAACGCTATTTAGCAAAAATTATTTAAAAACAAAAATCAGTAATTTAAGGATCTATTAAAAGGAAATCTATATATACCTTCTGCAACCTTGCTACTTTACTTGAGTTTAACGTATTTTCCTGTTCATCAAAATTCTCCAACGAGTCAATAGGCTTCATAATTACATCTGCTTCAATTGTGTCATTTGATACTCCCATTACACTAACAAAATTGCTTTCTAATCTAAGCGGTCAATAATCTTTTTTTGATTTTGCTTGATCAGCGTAAATTCATTTGTCAACTCTTTAAAAATTGCATACTGAAATTCTAATAATCATTTAATTATTGCATATTATTTTTGAAAACTTTAACTTTTCTCATATACTAAATCAAAAATGTTATAATGGAATATGTTTTTAAAGGTACGTGTTTTATTTTTAATGTAATAAAACAAGCACACAAAAAATGGTAGGTACACAATTTTAGATTGTAAGTCTTTTATTGTCAGAATGAACAGGGTATTAAAACGAGCAATAAATATGTAACATAAAAAAAATGTATTACAACTAAAAAAAAAGACTTATTGGTAACCTTTAACTTGCGTTTACTTGACATTTTTTTAAATGAGGAACCGCCATCACCCACTTTTGAAGGCTTCTCAAACAAATTTGTGGTTTTACAAGAGTGATCTTGTTTGAACAATGATGCAATATTTAATTTCGAAGACGTTGCAGGCGTTTCCAAAATATCACTAGGTGTAAAACGTTGAGAAGACGATGTAGGACTGGACGCGAAATCTATCACTGGACTTGCAGCTCTTTTATTTATTTTAATTTTTTGTATTGCTAAATAACAAACAATTCATGTTTAAAAAAATGTACATTTATATGTTCTGGAAAACATTTATAAAATGATTACATAAATTTTCAGCCTCATCTTCAGTTTGAAAATGTAAAATCTGGTTGGTTTGTACTCAACAAACTCAAATTCCTGCCAACCTGGTTCTGGTACAGCCCATTCTGCAATATACATACCAACTGCCTTGTACCCTTTTGGGGGAAAATAAACAACAGAACTATCCGAGTCAACCCAGTGAGCTGGAACTACTGTTTTGGTTGGTTGGTTTTTTTCAATAATCACAACAGTGCTGTAAAGTCTAAAGAAAAATATTTATTAATATTTTATATTTATTAAAAATTTTTTTTAGAATTAGTATGTTAGTTTTCTACCACAGCTGAAAACACAATTTTAAAACAATATAAAAAATTTTTAAACAATTAATTTTATAAAAATATGCAGCTTAGAACAATAATGAAATGTCAAAACAGCATCGCACTCCAAATTTATGTATTTTTACTTGGGGGTAGTGATTTAACAAACTATTAGAGCTGGAAAATTAGCTCCGAAAACTATAACTTAGGAACTGAGATATTAAATCAGCTATGAACACAAACAAACAATTTTATTATCATTTAAAATTTGCACTATTTAATAAAGGGATAACAACTCGATCATCTTCATGCATCAAACAAACACATTTTCTTAATACAATGTCAACATCATCTACTTTCTCTAAAGGATGTTTATCTTTTTTTATGACGAATATGTTTAGTTTATTAGAATCAATAAAATCTATGAAAAATTATCTAGCTCAGTCTTTTTAAAGGCATTGCAAACCAATCTACCATTTGGTAAAATTTCTTTTATAAAGCAGACATAATTTTTGCTAAGATACCAAGAGTTTTTAGCACAAACAAGTTTTGTTATATGAGTAGAGTTTTCTTGTAATGTTCCCTTCAACTCATCAAGTCTTTTTATAATTTCTTTTAATGGATTTCTTTTACCGCGCACTAGACGCTTTATAGTTTGCAAATAATTTTCAAATCGAAAACAAGAATAAGCATCAAGAGGCAATTGAAAATATTCAACATCATCAGGAAGATGTTTCAGATTATGAATACAGTAAAAGGTAAAGGTATTACCATAATGTTCATGGGCATTGGTTACAAAATAGTTAATTAATTCACGTGCTGAATTTAAATAAGTCTGCCTCAAATTTATATTCTCTTCACATAACATACGAATGGCAAGCACTAAACGGCAGCAAAAGTGCCCAAGATCAAAAACTGTTCGATAACATTAGAAAATTTTGAGAAGGAAACGAACCCTATAACAAATTAATAAAATGATGGAGCGAAATGTCGTTATTGTTTAAAGTGACCAATGTGTTGAGCAAGTTAGAAGAGCCACGAACACCGTACAGTTATCGCACGCATAAAAAAAGTTATAATTTGCCAGGACAATATTTTCATTGCGATTTGGCCGACATGAGTGTTTTTAATACGGATAAAAAAGTATATCGTCGCAACTATTGCGTTGTTCTCGTTGATGGTGTCAGCGGGTTTGTTCGTTTCAAAGCCAGCATCGGTAAGTCAGCAAGAGAAATACTTGTTGCTCTAAAAAGCTTGTTCGAACACATGAACAGACAAGAAGAAGTCTTTTTGCTGACCGACAGGGGTGGCGAATTTTATAACAAACAGTTTGAAGCGTGGTGTAATGAAAATAAAATTACGCATTTGTCATCGGAAAATCTGCAAAAGGCTTATCTTGCTGAAAACGCTATTCGGCGCCTCAAAGATATATATCAAAAATTAAGAATCGCTAAAAAATTGACAGACAAGACAGATTGGACCAGTTTTTTGCCGCTAGTAGAAGAAAAGTTAAACAAATCAAAACGCACAGTGTCTGGCATCACGCCTGAACAATTGAATTTAGATACAAAACAAGGTGAAGCTTTGCTCATGGGATTTGAAGAACATTTATAATATTGTAAAAGTTATTCGCAATAACGATGTTGCAAACAATTTTTATAGTCCGCCTGATTTGTATAAAGTAGCGAACGCTCTCGACGAAAAAGAAGTGTAATATTTAAAACTCTGACATTACTCCCTATATAAGAGATAGAAAAAAAGACTATTACTCTAACTTGAACGAATACGAAACCGAATTTTTTGGTAAATTAAATTTGTAAAAAAAATGAGTTTATATTTAGAAGAGTTATATGAAGGAAAATATAAGAGACATGATTTTTTTTTTCAAAAATTAATTCAGGCGACTCGTTATTTAATGATACAACAGAACATTGGAATAGCATCAACGAATTTAAAATTCCGCTCTCCTTGCCTAGCGAACCGGCTTTAACATTTAAAGAGGACACTATTATACACATCAAGGAAATGGAACTACCTGCAAACATTATAGTTTTAACAGAAGATCAGTACGAATTAAGAAAATTAGTGAACGATTACATGCGACGCATGATAAGTACAGAACTCGTGCCTGTATTTGAAAAAGGCGGAATGGACTCTATCCTTAATACCGAAATAAAAAATGGTTTTTATATAAGGGGGAAAACCCCTCAAAAACTTATTTTCTAAAGTAAAGCATTATTAAAGTTATTACATGTTCCAAATAAAAGTATACTAAATGTTAAGAAGATCTATCATAAAAAATGGCACTCTGTTGCCATGGCAACGTGGTTACTAAGGGAAAATGTCAACTTAGTCTCTTCACCCTGGCAAAGATTGCAGTCAATTAGAATGATACTTTGAGCTGATTTTTTTCTAACTTATAGTTAAAAGATAGATCTATGCAATAAGCAGACAGTTTTTGAAAATAACTTTTCTATCAGGTAGTAGGCCTGTTTAATTTTGGCAAAAATTTTAAGCACAAAAATGATAGATATTTTTTTTAATTTCTTTAGTTTAAAAAACATTTTTAAAAAGTTGTCTGCTCATTGGATACATCTTTATGAGAGGAATACTCCCTAAAAATTTCATTAAAATTGGTCTCAAGCGGTTCTCAAGATACTTCTGCCGGGAGATTAAAAACACGCGTTCTGAGAAAAATGCCAAATAAGTTGAAATTGTGATGAAAAATATTATATAATAACAAAGATACAAAAAACATAATATGAAAAGAGCATACTGATTGTATTTTTTAATCATGAACACCAGCCCCATACAATTTCCCTTCTTTCTGTTCAACTTTGTCAAATTTTTTAAGCTTGCGGCTTCTTAAAATCTTCCTTTTTTTTTTGATGGTGTCTTAATTTTTATACTCTGACATCATAACTCTTTTCTGGTTCAGGTAATTGCATCCAGAAATGGTATGTTGCCCTGGTATCATATTAAGTCTTTCAAATATAAGTATACTAGACTTTAATCCTATATTAAAGGCACCAATAGCATCATAGAGTCCAAACTTCAATTGCGTAAGCGAAACATACTTTGACTTAGGTATTCTAGACCATATCATTGCATTAAAACTTTCATTTTGATTCTGTGTTTTTCCATGAAGCAAACGATTTAAATAAGCATCTGATGTTAGTTCTACATAAATGGGCTTTAACTTGTGTACTATTTCAATAGGAAGACCTGGTCCGGGTTTATACTCTTTGGTTCCATTAGCTTTATCTCGATTGTATTTACACCAACTATCTTTTCCTGTGGGACAATGCGGGTAATGCCAATTATTTTTGCTTGAAGATGCTACATGAAATAAGCTAGCCAAAGCTGAAGATCTCATACCTTCAAGGTTGCCACAATTTTGCCTAATGCAAATACCAAAATAATTTTGCAACCGATCAATTGTAGCGTTTGTTAAACCGCCTTTACCATTTAAACCCTTGACTTGCTTTTTTAATTGTCTACAACGAGATCCAATGCGCTTTTGAAAATGTCCAATACAATCTAGTTTAATTACTTCAATACCCTTGTATGTGTTTTTGACAGAAGTGTAGCTTTTGCTATCACCATCACCCAAGTATTCTGTGTATCGTAAATTAAATTTTTGCAAAGAGCAATTAAATATCTTTATTGCCCCAACTGTTTCCATTCCACCGGCTGATCCTTCATAGTTTTTATTGCAAATATGTGATTTTTTTGTTGTTAGCTGCTGCTTTGAATTACCAACATCTTGATTTTTGTCACATATTTTACACTTTCTAGATAATGCTTCAACATCTAAAACCTTCCCATTTTTAATTGATAATGCTGCCGTCACCCCATTGTGTGAATTAAATCTTCTTTTTTGCCATGTTCCACCAACAGAAACTCCAATATCTAAGATCTCATTAAGAGATTTGCCTTCTCTGAATTCTTGTACAGCTTCATTCATAGTTTCAACAGCAACAGTTTGTGCTGCAGTTGCCAATTTTTGAACAATAACATTATAGCT